TTTGGAGAACGCCAAAGTGATGGAAATTTGCTATTCGTAGTCATATACTGAAAAAGCTGTCCACAATCCCCTCTTTCGAGAAGCGATTTGAGAAAACTTGACTCCTCAAAGGTATGTAAGTCGCAAAAACTAAAATCAAACTCGAAATTAAATCAACGGACCCCACCATGCGTAGTGTGTTATTAATCACTGCATTAAGGTGAAAGGCAGTACCAGCCTCAATGGCCCTGTGAGGGAATGGAAGAGGGTAGTTACCAGAGCCAGGAACAACTGCCTATTCAGCGCAGGGTATCGACCTGACAAAAGACATAACCACAATGTACGGTATCACAGACCTTTTAGCATCGTACATCCGTCTGTTCAGTCGGATAACTGTTGTTATATTATGACTATGGAAATAATCGAAATATACTTCGGGCGCATGATATGGATAGCCTGAAATCAAAGCATTGACATGGTACAACACCCACCCCCCCCCTTCCCTCCAAGAAAAATCATCGAAATAACGATAAATGTGAAGATAATCACACGAGAGTTTTCAACGATGTTATACTTCCAATGCCAAGTCATCGCATGATGCAATAAGAAGTGCTACATGTCAATCAAAAAACGAAGTATTTTTTTAGGAAGACTAAAAAAGACTTCTATGGCTTAATGGACCGAAACGTCTTATCTCACTCTTACCTTCTTCTCTCATATACTGTTCTTTTATGGTGTAATCTATCGCGTTTTCGCCATTTAGGCTTACAGAGTCAACCTGGCTGCTACAATCGGCTTACCATTTTCAACTGTTGATTCGTTATGTGGACCACAGAAGCTCAGCACTTTGTTCGGAATGATCCAATTCAAATCACCATTCTCTACTTTCTCGTAGTGTTCATATTCAGCCGGATCGAACACATCGAATGCTAACCAGTTAAATTTCATTGCCTATAAAACGGCAATCCTGCAATCATTGACGGATTCACCCGCAGAGGGGGCGGGGAAGGGGAGGGGGAAAGAGAGGCCCCCCTCTTAGAAGCTTATGCAGCAGTTATTTTAGTGTACAAAAGTCTGCTCGGCACCCCCTGTCTCCTTCCCTCTCTCCAGAAGATCGCCCTGAATCTGCCTATGCCTCTCTATACCCAAACACATAGCATGAATTATCCCCTGCTTGGTCAATAAATGTACTGTTACGTATCAATGAATTCTTTTTATACATCTGTGTAATGCAAAAATACATACTGTCGAAGGGCTATGTGTGTATATCCTATCACCCTTCCCCACCCCCCACCCCCTCCCCGAAAAAAAATTTTTGCAAATAAGCTGCATGACTGTTCAGTACACAACAGCTACAGAAGGCTGTATTATCCACATACAAAGCTCGGTCTGTGTTTACAGCTAAGGGACGACATATGGACGCTGCATCGTAAAATGTCTTCTTATACATGATACCTAAGCCCAATCCCTTTCATTCTACTATCTCTGTTAATAAGATGCAACAATGCCTAATATGTTGCTCAGTTCCTCTACATTAGTGATGTTACTAGGATGTTTCCACACTAAGGGAGCAACTATTTTTGACCGGACACCAGATCTTGGACCTTCTGTTAGCACTCAAGGTGGTTCTAGGTGTGTGCGGGACACTTCGTCGGAGAACGCCCGAATGACTTTCACTTTCTTCGTGATACTTCAAAAATGCAGTGGTGTATCATTTTACCTTTTCTACGCCACGAAGTACATTATGAAGATGCAATGTGTAAGTTGGTGGACCCATTGCTGCATCTCGAAAACCAATAAAACCATTCGGTTCCGCTTTGTACACCCGTAGATATGCTAGCTCAGCTGACATACCCAAATACAGGATCTAAAACAATTACAAATGAAAGAGATCAAAGTTCGGCTTCCGAGAGAAACCTGTAACCACGGGTGGATCCAGGACGGCTTCCTGATGGGAGACTGGGGAAGGAGGAAGGGGAGAAGCGATAGGAGCTATCGAAGAGATTTTTCCGCAATAAAACAACTGCTACCTGAGTCGCTAGGGGAGCAAAACACCCATCGCAATTCCTATAACAATCAACTTAGGAATTTTGCTGTTTATATTTTATACTTTGTCATCACTAATATCTTTAAAAATCAAAGAGAGTAAGCATTTTTCTCCCTCCTACCGTTTCCTCTTCCAACCGGAGCCAAAACTATCCTCGGAATTTTTGTCGAAATCACACTGAAGCTCACGAGGGCTAGTGCTGTGCGGAATCTGAATGGTCTGTGTTCGGATTTTTTTACCCACTTTCAACTCAGCAACCGGTGAAGCTAGAAGGCTGAAATTTTGAGGGATGTTCCCTGACCAAGTACCACACTGTTGCAGAATTGTTCTTCTCTCCCTGTATCGGGCAGGAGAAGAGGTTAAAATAAGACGAGCGAGAGGCAAGGAAGGGGACCAGTACGGGATTAAGCATAATTCCATAACCTAAAGGAGGTTATTCAAATTTAAAAAAAGGAGAAAAACTAACTGCATATGCACCAACAAGAAAAGCCGCATTAACACGACACTCATCAGCAGCACCACTGCACACCGCTATACAGCTTTGCTCATCCAATGTCTAAATTTTGCAAACATTAAATAAGTATTTAATAAGAAATTTTTGAAAACAATCATTGGCAACGAGCACCGGAAACCGGAGCGATCATGCGTTTTTGCATGTTTTTTGTGTTGGTCGTTTTCGCATGGAGCATTTTTTATGCGTTTTTTGCATCTATGCAATGCAGAAAATGCATACTGATGAGGGGTTGTCTGTGTGTGTCTGCATGTGCGCTATGCGTCTGTACCGATTTTTCATCTCGAGACCTACAAAAGCTACAGGGATGAAGCTTTGGGAACTTAATCTATATGCATGCAGCGGCCCCATCCCTGAAATGGAAATTCTTACCGGCGTGGACCCACGTATAGGCCGGTTAAAGTTTTTTTCGGGTATATTTGCTCACTAGGGGACCTGAAAAGCTAGAAGACTGGAATTGTAAAGGGATGTTCCCCATCCAAACAGAGTTCAAACCCATCCCTCGGGTATGCGTAGTAACCGCGCACGGGCCCGTGAAAGCTTTTTCGGGCAAGTTGCTAACTCGGAAACCAGGAAAGCAAGAAAGCTGAAATTTTAAGGGGATGTTTTCAGAGAGCCCTGGCGGACAGTCTTAATTCTTCCTAGCTAAAAGCATTTGCCGGAAAAATCGGTGCCGATAGCGTTCGCTATCCCCTCCCGGCCCCTTCCCTCCCTCCCCAAAGCGTCCAGTGAGGAGCCACAGGAGGTTTCAAATAAACTTTTCTACTGTAAAAATACCTGCTACCTAAGCCCCT